TCAACCACCACCCCCCCCCACCACCACCACCACCCCATCCGAGCGTGGAAGCTGAGTGTGACCTAATGTTTGACAGACAAGTAGCCTTGGAGAAAAGACTCATCTATCAGAGGCTGGTAATTCCATTAGAATGGACAGATCACCCCCCGAGGGCCAGCATTTGGCATATTCTCTCCATCAATTTAGCTCCTCTCTAAACCCTCCGGGCCACGGGCCTACAAAATGCAGTTTACACTAACAAATAATCAAAGGGAGTTAATAACATGTGTGTCTGCGTGCGTGCGTGTCCTAACTTTCTGCCCATTTTTTTTTCAAGGGGAATTGTTGAGCGTCGAGTTCTTTGATATTAAGCATCAAAGAACAGTTTCTCTTTTCAAATTCTAATCTCATCTGAGAGGCTAAAAAGGTATAATGCAGGGAGCTGTGGTGAGTGAAGATGGAAGGATCACAACTAGCTACTAGTCAGGATTGTTATCAAGATTCCACAATGTTTATATGTAGACAAAGATGGTTACAGCAAACATCTATTGTCTCGGCTTGTTATCAGACCTAATTACTGATTTGAGAGACGTGGAAAGGAGAAGAGAAGAAGGAGGTTTTGCTTACATCACCTGCTGGGATGTTAAATCGAGGACATGTTTTTCAGCGCAGAGTGTTATTTGTCTGTAATCAGCGCTTTCCTGTCAGTCGTGATGGCTGAGATGAGTAAAGGAGAGGAGGAAGAGTGAAGAAGCAGAACGAGATGAGAGAGGAGGAAGACGTCTGGACAGCAATCAGCCACAAACAGGAAATGTACGTCTGCGGATGCCCCCAGCTGCGGTGTTTGGCCTCGCTGCTGTTACTGTTAAATCAAAGCAGCATGAATAGCTCATACAACAACTCTTCAAGTGTCTGCCTCTGAAAATAGTCAGTTTACATTAACAGAGTTTTCCCACTGTTTCAGTCGGCTCAATGTTTGGAGTGAGTCCATGTTGTTTGCGTTTGTGCCCTTGTGTTTCCTTCAGTGAACACTTTGGAGTGCGTGAGACGGACGGGAAACATGTGCTGCTAAGTGCTTGTGTGTGTGTGTGTGTGTGTGTGTGTGTGTGTGTGTGTTTGTGAGGACGTGTTGTCTCAGTGGTTAATGGCTGTTCGATATTGATTACAGCTGGAACGTCTGAGTCACATGTTCCTTGTCCTTTCCAGATAACGAGGGTTAACCACTTGACCCCGTGCATGCCAAAGGGGCTCCGCTCATACCTGGATCCATATAGCCCCGGCTGAAGCCACATCTCCCACAGCTCAACCGAGGCCACAGCCCTCTGGTCTCCGGCCTGGCCCGTAGATCACGGCCGTGTCATGGAGCCACACCAGAGGGAAATGTGCCAGACTTCATTAAGGGCAGATTAAAAGCAAGAGGAGGCCACTTTAACTGTGATTTATTTTCACTGTGAGGTTGCTGGACTGACTGCGGGCCCACAGCGGCTTCATCCCGGAATGATGATGTCATGGTTTCAGTGTTTGCTGAGCGTAAATATCAGATTGGGAAGGAGCTATGTCCTCGGCACCAAGGTTCATCTTGGAGTTTCAGAGAGAAGAAAACAAAAGCTACAGCGAATGACTAACTATTCTCCATTTTAGAGCTGAAACAAACGATTAGACGATGAAGGAAATAATAGTCTGCAACAATTTTGATAATCGCTTAATCATTTCAGTCATTTATCAAGCAAGAATGCTAAACATTCTCTGGTTTCAGCCTCCTTAACAAAAGGATTTCCTGCTTCGCAGTATAAACAGAATATTTTTAGCCGTGCCAGTGGCGTGTTGATCTGTTGATCCAACACTTTGGTCTGGACTGCTACATCTCGATTACTGCATGAATTGCTATGAAATTTTGTTCAGACATTCACGGTTCCTAGAGGATGAATCCTTAAATGACCAGTATGCTTCTTCACCACTGCATGTTGAATGGCTAAATAGTTTCAGGAACCCCCTCCCTTCACACCCTCCTGACAGCAGATTAGGGGGAACTATGTCCAACCATTTCTGGGAATTTCCGAAAAACCGACAATCTGACACTCACACCCTGTTCAAGCTGTGAGTGGTCAGCTTTGCAGAGGTAGACAGTAAGATGGCTTTGAACTTCTCTCTCTTGCTCTTTTCTTTTTTTTTACTCTTAACATAGCTATTTCTGTCACTTTTCATGTACAACGCCATTAATGCCTTTCAGGAGAGGCTGTCTGAAAATGTGCACCATTATCCCTGTGTTTAAACAGTATCACATCTCCCCGCTCTCTCTGACAGGCTTTTTACTCCACCTTCCAGCTTGACTGTTCAGCACAACTACAAACACTTTTGATGCACAACTATTGTATGGATCGCCATAAAAATTTGATGCAGACATTCATACCCTACTCAGGATGAGCTGCAATAACATTGGTGACCCCCTGACCTTTCCTCTAGTGCCTTCATCAGGTCAAAATTTCAATTTGTGATACTTGCTAAACTAACTCCATTCCAATCAACCTCAGCTGTGCTTTGTGGCTAATGCTAATTAGCAAACATTAGCATGCTAACAAGCTGATGGTGTACATGGTAAATGTTATATCTGCTTAGCAGCAGCACTGTAGCATTGTCACTGTGAACATGTTAGCATGCTGACGTTAGCATTGAACTCAAAGCACCACTGTGCCTACAACCTCACAGAGCTGCTGGCATGGTGGTGCCACATTAAAAATGATGCATTTTCTGAAATATTTTAATGGATCAAAACAATTATCAGTGATGAAAATAATCTTTAGTCACAGCCCCACATTCTGATGCATAGGAGGAATGTGTGTGTATGAGCTTCTGAGGTATCAAAGTACGTTCAGGCTATTTATAGAAGCACTAATCAGCCACCTATACAGATTAACATGATGACCTCATTACTTGAAAATGCCAGTATTTTATAGGTGGCTGTCTGAGGGGGAGGGGGGAATCAGATTGCCTTCAATGGAGAGTGTGAGCAAACATGAATGCTATGACCAATACAGTCCTTTGTCCTCACATGTAGCTACTGCACTGTGACACAATGCATAAAGTTTTTGTGTTTATGTAGAGTAATGTGGACAGTCCATCATCTGCTATGTATCCACTACACTCCCTCTGTGCTGTATACAGTGTTTTTTTCTTGTACCACATGTACTGGTACATACTGTCAGAGAAGATTAGTTTTGATTGCTTCCCAAGGCAAATATCTGTATAGTGTAGTACTTGGCTAATAAAGTGTTTTTGATTCTGCTGATCCCAGACTGTGGTCTGATCACACTCTTACAACAACAGCTTGGTATGTCCGCCATCATTGTCCTGCAGCCATTGGTCAGTCAGCCTTGGCCACAGCTGTGGCAGCCGTCAAACTTGTACACAGGAGGCGTCTCATTGGCTCGCAGCAGATCAGGTATCTATCTGTGGCCACATGATTGGCTGTTAAGATATCAGGTATCCCATAGGCTACGTCCCGGCCATCAGACGGGACATGCCAGCTCTGTGGCAACTGGCCCGTGTTTGCTGTTACTATGACAACACTGTGATAGTCTTGTAGCCAGGCTCCTGAGGACGCAGCTATGGCACTCCAACTTCTGTGGCCTCTATTATCACACACACACACAGACACACACACACACACATCACAAACACACACACACCAGACACACAGACACACACACACACACCACACACACACACACACACACACACACACACACACACACACACACACACACACACAAAACCCATACAAACATAAATACACTCAGATAATTAGAATGTATAATCATTTGGGTGTGAAGCTGATAGTGAGCTTACTGTTCCATAAAGATTTATGGGCTGTCAACCCACAACAGGATGTAATACAAATAATTTAAGGAACCAAAGGACATGTCTGTAAATGTCTGTTATCTCTCCTTTCCAATTACGCTGAATCCCCCTCCTGTACTCTGTGAATCGGTTTCATCACAACCATTAGGGGGCGGCATTGATTGAATAAATGCAAGGAAATTAAGGGAAACTCTTCCCCTCTTTCTCTCTCTCTCTCACACACACTCTCACACACACATACACACACATACACACACATATACACACACAAAGGGGGCACAGACATGGACATGATCAATTATGTGTCAAGCGTTTCTTCCTCAATGAATGAATGGCCCGATGACTATAGGCTACCGACCGTCTATTGTCTATTGACACTGGAGACTAAGTTCTCATGCAGTTCATTATCCCAGAAGGGGACAACTAGGAAGAGATCCAAAGAGACCATTAATCATCATTCCCTTCAAAGAGGAAAAAAGAAAGGACCAGAATAACATACTGTAACCCTACACGGTTAAGTATAGAATATTTCTTTAAAGAATCAAAACATATTAAAAATTCACTTATCCTACCTACCACAGACTTAATTATAATTCCCTAAAGAGGAGGTTTTGATAGGCTTAAATTATAGAAATTTTATAGCATAAAGTTAAGTTAGGGATCTGCAGGGTCATTCAGGTTCTGGATTTAAAGGGGCCAAACTTTTGCCCCTGTAAGCACTTTCACGCACGCTCCAGCAGCCTATCACGCTCGTTTTCCTCACCAAAGCTTTCAGTATGACGAATAACTCCAAAGTCCATTTCAATTTGGGTCGATGGCTCGGGCCGAGGTGGTGGGGGTGGAGATGTGGGGTCAACCCAATAACAGCCCCCCCACACACTCACACACACACACACACACACACACACACACACACACACACACACACACACACACACACACACACACCACCACCACCACCACCACCGCCCCTCCCTCTCCCTACCCACCATCCACCCCTCCACGTCCCCATAAATGCCTTCGCTTCCTGCTTCCAAGTTCGGACAGAGCGCTGTGATTGGCCGCGGCTCGCACTGTGGGCTGCCCCCCCCCTCTCTCCCCCCTCCCTCCCGCCTTCGCTTTGCTCGGCTCGGGTTACAGTTGAGCTCGAGCTGCTGCACACACCGGAGCACGGAGAGTTTTACAGACGATTAACAAGGGTACACCGGCATGGAAATGTTGGCGAGCGGATTTAGAGGCACCGAGCGGGCTGGTGAGCAGGTCTAACCGTCCCTCGGCACTTTTTGTGTCCGCGCGGCAGAGCGAAAAAGGAGGAGACGGGCAGTTGTATTTACGCACCGGCCACGCAGCATGCCCGAGTTGGACTAGAGGCATACCCCTGCTGGAGCGCAACACGCACGCGGAACGGCGCTGAGAGCCGGGAGGAATATTTACAATAGAAACTCAATTCCTTTGCGAAGAAGAATAGCAAAGGGGAGGGAGGAGTGAAAGATAACACTGGAATGAAGTGGACCTCGGGATTCCCAGCGTGCTGCGGAGTTGTGACTGATGGATGAATGTGGTCATCTGTAGGGTAGCTATATACAGCGACAGGTACAGACACCATCAGGGGAGCTTTGACAAAAGGCACGGCGCAGCGCTTCATCGGGCAGCCGCATCGCCAAAAACTGAACGACTGGTTAGATCTGTGTCATCGCACATCAGATCGCACCGTCGAGTTGTCTCTTTAGAGTAAAAAAAAAAGAAAAGAAGGTCGTGAAGGGCTGTTTTTGTCTCAGCCACAGGTCAATCAGGACACTCGGGGGCTGCTTCCCTTCCAGATCCTACCAAGAAGCGAGGGGTGTCTTCTCACGTCCTGCGGACAGTTCAGTCAAGGACACCGGGGTCCGGAGCATTTTTTAAAAGAAGTTGGACAGAGGGACATGTATCTGATATCGACCTCACATGCTCCCGACTGATCGTAGCTCACCTTCCCACCGGGCGAACCACAGATAAAGGCTGCCAGGCGCACAGTCCGACGCTCTGAGTAATCGGCTCACAGTCTGTACATTTATCAGAATGGCGGGACTCGGTTGTTGGAAGTATTACCTCTGGATCTTTATTTTAATGTGCAGGTCGGCGTTACCTTCGGCGAAATCGCTGGAGACTATAATTTGGAGCTCGCAGAATCCCAAGTAAGTCTCGTATTTCATTTGTACAAGCATGCCAAACTCGCTGGGTGTGTGCGTAATGGAGGACTAACATTACTGGAAAAGTTGCCATTGTGTGCAAGCTGGGTTAAATGTTCTGTTAAATGTGGCAATTATCTCAAAAAGAACAGAATTTATTTCGTTTTAATTGTCACTCCTGCGCCGCAGAGTTTGGTGCTGATTTATTCCTCAGTGGGGAATTTCCCAACACCAAAGAAACACAGAAGGCACAGGCTTATACATAATACAGTAGGCCTCACTTCAATCATAATAATAGTTAATTATAGCAATTCATAACTAACATTACATGCACTTATACGTCGCCAGAGGGAAGGTCTTCTTGGACACTTAAATCTGGGAGTTGTGAGAGTTTGTCCGCTCCTTTCTTACAATTTCCTTGTAGCTGATGTCATTTGTTGTGTAAGGATTGAAAGAGAAAAGACAGGTAAAGCATGCCAAGCGTGTCAAGTTGTAACCCAGGATGTCTCTCCTCTCAGCCCCTCTCTCAGGAGCGCTGAACATGGGGCTCTTGTCTGGCCTCTGAAAGGGCCAGGCCACACTGCTGTTCCAGCTCTTCCAAGTTTGAATTCAGCCCCCCCTTACAAAAAAAAAACTGAAAAATGTGTGATAAGATGCTTTCAGATATCAGAGGAATAACTGCCTGAAATGAATTTAATTTTTTCTTAATTGCCCTGGCTTGCATCCAGCATAATTTCTTTCTCAACATCAAATCAAGTTTCTCAAAAGCAAGCAGCTGAAGCAAGGCAAATTTTTTTTTCTCCTGTAAATTTATATTATTCCCATCAAAACAAGCAGAGTGAGCCCAGACTGCTGATAATAAAACACACTCTGGTAACAATTATCACCCACTTAGACTTGACTCCCACATTTGCATGATGTTGGAAAGCATACATAAGGGGAAAATAAACTAAAAGAGGGAGGGGAGAAGAAAGAAGAAAAAAAAAAAGAACCCCAATCTTCTGAATTTCTGTGTGGTTGGAGCTGAGGAGTTGACCTTCATTTGAGTTCACAGCACCTAGGGGAAATGGAGAGTAGCTCGACCAGCTTATAACTAGAACTTATTCATTCAAGTGAATCCATGATTTATCCCCCAAATGTCAGATGTCATAGGAGCTCGTTGTGCAGTCAGCGAGTATGAATATTGCTGCCATGTTCATTGGAGTGTGGGTAGATACGTGTGTGTGTGGGTGTGTGTGTGGGTGTGTGTGTGTGTGGCCCGGTCCTAATGGTAAGACTTACGGCCCATCAGCTTTTATTTGACTATAGCTGCAGAGGTAGTGGAACAATGAGCATCATCAGACAGAGATATATATATATACACACACATATTACCCCTGCACAAAAACCCACACCTTGTGTCAGCCATGAGAAGACAAATGATAAAAAAAAAAAAATGGGGGAGACATTTATTGATTGATGATGTCACCTGGAGGGAATGTCTTAGAAGGTTACCACGCTGGGTTTAGGGATTGGAAGATCATTTCTCCATCTGTTCCTCCACTCTGCTCCTTGTAAAAAATCCCCATGCCGGCCGAATATTTCATAAAGTTCACAGTGGAACAATAATGCACTCTGCTCTGTGTTCTCGCAACCTAATTATCCTGCTGCTCTGCACTTAGAAAACAATAGACAATTATCTTGCTGCGTGCAGGCTTTGCAATAACAAAAGACAAACCTGTTTTTCGGTGTCTGATTGGCAATAAAAAAGGAATATTTGTCCGTCTTCACTGTTTGTTGTTTTTAAACTCCATCTCTCTGTCTTGGCCTATATTGCTCCATAGTAATAACAGAAAGAGAGGCCTAAAGAAATGTACAGTACACTATCTGGTGACTTATCTAGATTTACGATGTCTTACTTCCTGTTCCTACTTTGGGGAGCACTGCTGCCTCAGCTAATAAATTAATCTGGCCCTCTGCTTGCACACTGTACCACATACACACAATATATAACAATACCAGTGCCTCCCTACAGGCCATGAGTTATGAGACAAACTATAGGAAACCAGCAGGTTTGGGCCACTATGTGCCCTACTGTGTGTGTGTGTGTGTGTGTGTGTGTGTGTGTGTGTGTGTGTGTGTGTGTTTTTCTGTGTGTGTGTGTGTGTGTGTGTGGTTTTTTCTGTGTGTGTGTGTGTGGTTTTTTCTCTGTGTGTGTGTGCGTGTGCGTGTACAGGTTTATGTGCGGGTCCCCCTGAGCGTTCTCTGTTATGGATTTCCATGTGAGGATGCTATCACTCCCGCTCCTGCATAATCAATAACTGGGGTTTGCTTAATTGATTTCCTCCCAGCATGCTTGAACAGGCAACATACATCATTGCTGTAGCGCCCGGAAATCTGGAAAGAAGAAGAAGAAGAAAACATCCCTTAAGTGCTTAGCTTTGCTGCAGGATGTATCAGACCTTTTTTGATATTTAATTTGAGGCTGGATGAGTGCGGGGTGGGGCTGGTGGTGGTGGGAGGGAAGAAGGGAGGGAGGGAGGGAGGGGTGGGGGGGTCAACTGTGCAGAAGAAGGCTGGATGTGTCAACGTCCCCAGCCCTGTAAAGAACTGCCTAACATTTGATCAGAGCAAATCGGATTAGTTCTCATTTAGCTGAGTGGGATTATGCCAGAAAATGTCACTTTGTTATGACTGATCACGTCCCGTCGGTTTGGCGGAAGCCAGCGCCGCAACGTACAGGCAGACCCCATACATACACTCACACATGCACGCTCAACACTGCGCTCAGGAATGCTGCAGTGATGCCATTTTAATGACAATCTGACAAGGTTGTTTTGAGTGGTTCCCGCACGTCCTCTAACCCTCCTTAGCTAATATTTACCTCATGACCTGTAGCTACCACAGCCTGTTTGCAGCGGCTCAGGAGACAAACAAGATGATGGGAGAGGGATGGAAAACATGCTGGCACGTCTGAAAGCGCAAAGCGAGGAAACAGCCACAGGCCGGCCAGGAGTCTGCTGGACTAGTGTTGAACTCATTGCATTTTGGTGAGGCTTGGAAACAGTTTGTAGACATTTTTCTGGCCTCAGTCAGTTTTGAGGCCCACAAAAGAACACAAAATAGCCTAAGAGAGAGAGAGAGGCGTTTGTGTTGATAAAAGTCCACTAAAGCCTCTGCTGCTGTGGGTCTTTTACTTACTCATCTTATTTTGCTCTCCGTTGACCTCAGCTGCCTGGCTCCCAGTTTAACAGTTGACTGATTTGGTTTATAACGTGCTTGCGTGGTTTAAAGGTTCAGTGAGTTTGATGATGATTACACTGGATTTGATTACCACTGTGATATTTAGCAAACAAGGTTATTTTTTCCAAAATAGAGAGGCAATTTAATGTTGTAATTCTTAAGGGGGGGAAAAAGGCCCTGTACTTTCACATGATGAGGTGGCAAGTTTATTGTTAAATACCTTCTGAAAACAACATAATGTTATTTGTCTGCTATTAGTGGAATAGCAGCACAGAACGCCTAATTAAAGTTCAAGTTTTATTTTCCTGATTTTCCTTTTCTGGTAAGATAATTGGAGTAAAAAAAAAAAAAAAAACGAGGTAATTAGGACAAAACAAACTTCTGCCTTATCTTTGCTTTTAGAAGCTGCTGTTATCAGAGGAAATGTATTAAAGGTTTTTTCTCGAACACAGAGAAACCTTTGGCTCCTGCAAAGTGACGTTCACAGTAGCTCTACAACGCTGACATTTAAATGTGACCAGGATTTCAGAAGTAGGTTTAAAAAAACAAGCTGCAACTGCAAAACTCGAATCTGCCGCAACCTGTTGAACAAGAGCCGGATGAAACTTCAGGACTCCAGAAACAGGATTTGGTTCCTTGCAAAGAGTCCACTGAACGCTCCCCTCTGCTGCTCGCTGCACTGCGGGTCACTGCTGAGAGGGTCAGAGGCCTGTTTTTGTTTCTTGCCTGCCCCGCGCCCTGCTGCTTGCCCCCTTTACCCCTTTGCGATATACACCTTCTCTCTCCTTGCCTCCCTGAGTCCCCCCTCTCTCCCCCCTTTAGACTCTGATCATGTTTCCCTCTGATACAGATCTCATTACACACAGAGAGGACTTAGAGCCTGAGCCCCACTCAGAGAGACAGAGAGAGGGCCAACCAATAAGAAATACTTGTGGAAAGCAACTGGCCCGTGGTGCTGTAAAGGCACCCTGTGTCTCGCTATAAGGACAGCTGCGTTTGCTTTTATGTGTGTGCACTTCTGTGTCGACATGGCTGTTGTTTCAGCGGTGTGTAACGACGAGATTCTTCATTTGGTTATCTACGTGAGGCACCTGGGCTCAGAAAGGGGCTGCAGTGCTTTAGGATATTTCATGGAAAAAATGCAGTTTTTTTCCATCATGGTTTCGCTCCAGATGGACCCACTTTATCCGCTGGTGGTTTGGCTGCCACATCACTGAAAACTGATCATTGTGCTTTTTGTGTGTTATTGATGCGTTCATGTCTTTATATGCAAGCAGTGGTGCACATGAAACCGAGCTTCATTCCCCCGGCTTGCAACTAATTTTTTTAGGCGTTTTTTTTTTTTTTCCTTCATGTTCTGTTCCTCATGAGTCGGAGTTACAGTCAATTTTCTTTCAAGGCATATTATAGGGACTGAATCACAACTGGGACAACAGCTGAATGCAATGAATCACTTGGAAGAGCCGAGTTTTGAAAAGATTAATCTATTAATCAGTTGGTGGCCAAACACAATCACCAGCAACTTTAAAAATCCATCACGTATTGATAAGATCTTCTGTCACGGCACATTTAATGTTGTCACAGTATCAGTATTTATTTTAATATACTGGCTCTGTTTCTTAGAACTTCAGCTGAGAAACTAACCAGACAGGAATGTCTGAGGTTTTTTTTTTTTTTGTTTACCCAGGGAATTAAAAAAACCTGACAGATCAAGATACTTCATCACACTGGTGCAACCATCTTATAAACCTGGGGGTGTGAAGAGGACAGAAACCAATATAAAG